GACTTAATTCTTCCACAATTTTGGTTGCAAACCAAACTGGATGAGAACCAAATCAAATTCAATGGTTAGGTTCAATGTTGACCTTATGGGGAAATTTGTTTTTCTCATCCAATTTGGTTTGCAACCAGAATCGTGAAAAGAATCAAGTTTGGGACCCAGGAACCACTGTAGATAGATATCTAAATAGATATATAATGAGACAGACAGATACCTGCAATGTAGAGGGAAAAACAGGAACTGCTACATAAATTGTAGGCCCTTTGCCCTAGAGTATCAGTGGCCAGGCAGGAAAAGAAGAAAGAAAAGTTATGGGGTTAACTAAGGTCCACAGAGGAGAAGATGAAAGTGCTATACTCTCAGAGGAAATGAGAGTTATGTAGGAAAAGATGCATATGTAAACTGTGAAGGAGAGAAAGCATTTGGCATTCACTCATTGGCTTATTTGGGGCAATCCAAGGACATGCATCTGATCATTGTTAATGAGCACAGCCCTGGGAGTTCTGAGGTTGTACTCTGCATGCCAACAGGTTCTCCGTGCCCTGCATTCCAAATGAGAACTGACTCTGAGTGGTGAGCACGGTAATGGGGCACAACACTCAGTGTGACCTGCCAGGTGTGATCTGAACCCTTGTGACACAGCATCCAGCTTGCAACACAGGCAATGGAGAGCTCATCAAAATCCTGAGTTTTTCATACATGTTGGTGAGGAGTATGATATTAGAAACCAACACAGGGTCATTTGGGATTCTTTTTTTATAATTCCAAAGGTTAAGTAAGTGTCATATGCATGGATTGAAAAGAAAGTAGCTGCCATCTTCAGGCTGAAAGGTGCCCTCCTCCTTTTCCATCTTAGTTCTCTCTAGGGGTAGAGGTTGTAGTTCTGACCATTCCTCAGGATGCATCAAACTAAGGGACAAAGTCAAAAGGTATCAGATACGGTATCTCTTTTTCTGAGGAAGATTTGGTATTCCTCCCTAGCATTGAAAACAAAATTTAAAAACAACAAAAACCAAGTTTCTACTCATTTTATAGGGAAAAGATCGACTATTAGTAGTTCTTTGAGAGTGGGGAGAAATGATCCATATTTCAACTACAAAAATTTCCAGCTTGTACTCAGTTAAACATTAAAAAAATGGGACTATAAGAAAGATTAGACATCAATAGAGATGAATATAAAACAGATGTCAAGTTTTGGCAAGTCCCGCCCATGTCTAGAAGAAAGGAAATGTGTAAAGGAAAACTGATTAATGTAAAAATATCAAAATGTAAGACTTCCGTATATCAATTTATATTATATGGATATTAAAAAGCTTGAGGACAAAAATCATATAATTATCTCAATAGATGCTGAAAAAGAAGTTAGTAGATACACATTTCCTTGACAAAATATGTATTCTGGGCTGGGGATTTAGCTCAGTGGTTCCAGCACCTGCCTCACAAGTGGAAGGACCTGAGTTCAATCCCCAGTACCAAAAAAAAAAAAAAAAATGTATTCTGAATCAAAAGCCAATGTAAGATACAACAGTGAAATTAGAGACATTAACATTAGAATCAAGGCAAAATTCCCACTATCATCACTACTGAAATGTTGTTGTGTGGGACACCACAGCAATAAGAAAAGAAAATTAATAAATAGCAGGAAAGACCAAATATTTTTACCTACAGGTTATATGGTATCAACCAACTACTAGAAACTGTAGGAGAAGAAATAAGGTAGCTAGTTATAAAATAAAAATAGCTTTTCTATATTCAAATAAGATACTATGATAGAACTCTATAAAAGACTTTATATCATAATGATTAAATTCTCCCTACACTAAGCATTCAGTGTGACAATTAAAGTCAAGTATGTTTAGAATGTGATAAAATTTTAGTGCTTACCTAAACATATAAACATCTGAGAATGAGGAAAAACTTGATCAGAAGAGAAGTCTGATATTAAAATATGAGAAAACTTTATTAATCACACAGTGCAATGTTGGGATCGATGTAGAAAGACATAGGAAAAAAAGAGAATAGAGCATCTGAAATAGACCCAATAAACAGGGCTTGTGGCATACAATATAAGCAGTGCACAAAACCGGTAAAGAAGAAATACATGTTGAAAGACAAAGATGTCTTCTGGGGAAAAACAACCTGAAGCCTCCCAGCTTACACTTTACTGTTTATAATAGGGAATATACTGGATTCCAGAAGTAGTACAGCCTTAAACATAGACCATGAATCCACACAGGCTCTGCAATGACTCATGCTGCTACTTTAAAAAAAAAAAAACAACACAAACCTATAGATGGTCCCTGACTTGGAATGGTTAACATAAATTTTCAACTCTAGGATGGTTTGAAAGAAATTATTTAGAATTTTGATCTTTCCCAGGCTAGCAACAATGCAGTAAGATGCTCTCTCTCCATGCTAGGCAGAGACAAAGAGCCATAGCTCCAGAGCAGCCATGCAACTATGAATGGGAACAACGGGCACTCTTCAGTGCCCTGTGTTGCTGTGCTGTGAGGTACAGAAAGTTGGATGGATGAAATGCATTTTCAATTTATGATACTCTCTCAACCTCTGGTGGGTTTGTCAGGATGTAATCCCCTGGGAAGTTGAGGAGTATGTGTATTCCAAATTCCATTCCCAGTTTTACGCATAAAGGCAAAGTACCAAGATTGCCCCTGCCGCCCCAACTCCCTGGGAGCTGTTGATACAGTTGCAGCAGTAAGACATCAGCTCAGGGTTTTGAGGAACAGCTCTGGTTTCCTAATACAGGGTATTTCCTGGCCCTCTTTCCTTTCCTTCTTCCTTCCTGAAAGAACAGTCTACTGCAGCCTTCTGTGATTTGGTGGCAGAAGGCAACCGATTGAAAGCTGTCTCAAGGAGAGACAGAAGATTATGGGTCCCTAAGGGTGTCAGCTGGTCTGGAGTCACTGATTTGAGAGGCTTTAAGGAATGATTGTTGGAATTTTCTCTTACTTGTAGCCCAAGTGAGTTCCAAGTGCTTCTAATGAAGAAGTAATGCTTGGAGAGTAATGCTTTTCTGAATTTACAAGAAACCCTAAATCCTTCAGGGAAAACACTGATTAATACTGAACTTTAAAAAAAACACAAAAAGTTATAAACAAATAGACATAAACCAAATGCACATTTAAAAGAAAAATGGTAAGACAGGGGAAAATATCTATGGCCAATTGCTTAATATATATAGAACTCATAAACAGGATGCACAATTCAAGAGAACTGAGCTCTTTGCGACTCAGCCTCAGGATTTATTTAGCATCACATCATCCCTTTGCTACTATTTGAAGCAGTCATAAGACTATCCAGATTCAAGGAAAGGGGACTGATATGTCACTGGTCAGTAAGAACAGCATCAAATAATTGACAAGAATGTTTTAAAATACCACAAACTGTAACTACTTAACCTATCAATTCCCTTTCTAGGAATTTATCCTGTAGAAGCAAGCAAGCTTGATTACAAAAGATGTAAAAGATGTTTGCTCTAGACTTGTTTATAACAATGGTTCTCAAATTTCAGCAAGCCTCAGTATTACCTAGAAGACTTGTTGAAACTTAGACTTCTGGGCCCCATGCCCAGAGTTCCTGATTCAGGAAGTCTGGGTGGGACTAGAGAATGTTATGTATATTTTTAAGAACTTTCTAGGTGATGTTGATTCTATGGCTCTGAAAAACAGATCCAGGAACTACTTATTTATAACATTATACATCAAATTCTATTACTGCACTTGTTTTCCTATTCTATAAAGAAAATTTGATTCAAACACATTACGATGAACAAAGAGAAATCCCTGGCCTTGTTACTAGAGACACATTCTGAGTCACAGTTCTGATGAGCAGAAAACTCCTCAGGCAACTGAACTTTAGGTGTCAACTTTCTAACCACAGATCAGCATGACTTAGATTAGTGTGAATTTTGAATTTGTAAATTTTGGTGAATTTACAGGTAGGCCACTCTTTAACCTCCTTGCACGGGTATGTTGGTGGCTACTCCACTTCCTACCCTCTTTCCTCAATGCTTCAGGCTCTGAAGCCACCATAGAGCCTACTACTTACAGGTATGGTGATGCCAGAAATAGTGAAGCAGCAGTCTTTTTATGCTGGTAAACATTTCTATACTAGGAAGCCTGAATTTTCTAAAGCAGTATTCTGAAACCGACCTCAGTCATAAGCGTGGGAGTCTTTCTTGTTCTCTTGTAATAAGTGACCCTTCCTGATGCTCTTACCAATAGATGCATATTCCTGTGCATCTTTTCTGCTGCTTGTATCTATATGGCACATTAAAGCATAGACTAGCCTCAGAGGACACTGGGTCAAACTTTGGAACATCTCAGTAATAACCCTACATTACTTCTCCTGAGAGACTGACACACTTGTCACTTCCTTAACTCCCAACTCTCCCCACTGCTCACTTAATGACTTATAAACTCTTTCTTTCATCCCAATTTAGTCTGCCAGACTTATCAACTGTGTTCTCCCCACAAGAACTCCATGTTCCGAGCCTTCAAGCCAGCTCAGCTTTCTCCAAATTGCTGTTCACAGCCCATCCTTTGAGAAATGTGATTTCTCATCAGAAACCTCTCTATGAATTCTGATCCATGCTTGACACATGGCATATCAACCCTCCAGTTATCTATTCCAGTTAGGAAGTGGGCTGCCTCCTCTGAAATCCCAGGGTGCCATTTACATTCATCATGTAGAACAATTATCTGTGGTACTCCCTGTGCTGTGTGACAGTGCTAGCTCCTCCAGGACAAGGACACATGGGGCTCACTGTGTACTGCACACGCCGCCCAGCCTAAGGCTGCACAGGGGCCCAGGGTCACAGCAGACGTCAGGTAGGCATGCTGCAGATGCACCTGGAAAAGCCCACATGCCCTTTTGAAACGAGTCACTGAAATTCTAACCTGTAATGACAGCCTTGATATAGATTCACATTAGAATTCTAAGCAACATCTAAATAACATGCAGGTAAATCAAGTGTTTCTTACTTTGAGCTGTAGTCGAACCTTGGCCAAAAAGAATTTCCAGCAATTTTCCCTGGAGTCCACCATGCCTAGACCACGAACTTCATTACGAACTCCAGAAACTATCTTGTCCACATCGTCCTCACTGAACAGATCCAAGATTTCTCCTGCCCTCAAAAGAATGAGCAGAATTACTCAAAGATGACTGCAATTTAAATTTTAGGCATGACTTTCTAATGTTTGAAATGTTTTATAAGATAAAAGTTCAGCTTAAATGAGAAGAATCTGGAATTAGAAATGTCATTTTCTTCTCATTTTTTTTTTTTGCATTCAGAAGATATACAATGAGGATGAGCAGTGATGAACAGACCCATAAGCCCATCCAGATAGGAATAACATTTACTCCTCTGAAGGCCTCGTAGAGGCATTTCTCATCCATAAGCAGACTAAGAAAGCAATACACCTCAAATTAGGTTTATAGGTTTCTCCCCAAAGACTACCCCAGCACACATCTTGAAGACAAATTATCTCCCTTTAAAGTTCACTGAAACTACAGATAATTTGTCACTGGGGAAGATCTTTCAAGAAATGTGTTGGTTTAATCACCTGACACCAGCAAGTCATTAATCAGCACGAGAAAGCTCTCATCTAGAACGTGGGCATCTGTCAGCAGGAATGCAGTGGGCATGTTCTTGGCTCCTATTCTGATGTACAAATTGGCAAGATCTACCTGTAAGGAAAGGAGGCCATCATTCATGTTTTGTTAAAATGCTGATGCGATGTTGGGAGTATGCATGTGAGTGCCGGGGAGAGTCGAGCGACTAACTATAACGTGATAGCAGTGCACGGTGCCTTTCCTCCCAGTGACCTGCTATAGGGGAAAGTGGTGTGACATCACCTGCACTTCTGGCATAAAATGATGAGCATCAGTCTGTGGCTTAATGGAGCGGAGGGATGAAAACAGAGTGCTGATGAGCGACAACTCCCTTCTAATAGAGTGAAAATGAATTCTCCAATGCCTTTGTCAAGTACCACAGTGGAAGGGAGTTTTCTGCTCATTGCAACTTGGATTGTTTATTTCACTAAAGATAGGTTTTGTTAATTTATTTGGTTATAACATCACAAGCAGTTTTAAAAAGTTAAAATAGTACTTGGTAGAACCTGTAAATATTATTTTGTAAACAGCACTGTGACTAAAAATCAAAATTCACAAACACAACAGTTTCTCGAATGTGATAGTCCTAATGTATTTTATTCTTATATTCTTATCCAAAGGAGTTAGAAAACTACTTGTATTTATATATAAAGTGCGGTTTTTTTTCCTTTTTACCTCATATCATACAGGAACACTAATAGTGTTGAACATCAGTTTTGGTTAATACAAAGTAAAAATTTACATATATAAACAAATATTTAATAGAATATTTTCTGAGTCAGGTTTATATTATTAATTGCATAAAGATTTATAGAAGTTTATTATTACGAATTTTGACCGTGTAGGCAAAACAGCTAAAGGTAAATAGTTCTTCTATGCTTGTCCTCCTCCTCCCTGTTATGGAGGCCGTGGCCAAGTGTAGGAGTCACAGTTGACAAGGAAGTGCTGCACTTTCCTTCCACTCTGTGCACCAGACAGTGGGGTCAGAAGCAGAGCTGATCCTCCACACCCACAGATTCAACCAATGGCAAACCGAACATATTTGGGAGCAAACAACTGCATCTGTACTGAACATACATAGGTTTTCGGGGGTCATTTTTTCTGGAACAATATAGTATTAACAACTATTTACACAGCATTTACATTGTACTGGGTATTATAAAGAACATAGAAATGACAAGGTATACAGGAAAATATGCGCAGATTATATGCAAATACCATGCCATTTGCTATGAGGGATGTGAACATCTCCAGTGTTGAGGATCTGTGTGGTCCCAGAGCCAATCTTCTAAGGATCAGTAGTTATAAGGACAGTAGTTATGACCACTGTCTAGCAAGCTTACCCACCCGAAGGTCTTGGATCCCATAGCCTTCAGTCAGGGTGACCTGAAAGACCTCAAGGCTGCAAATGTGAGCTGCCAGTCTAGACAGACTCTGCTTGCCACTGCCTCCGACTCCAATCAAGAGGGCGTGACCCTGAGGGGTCCTGAGGATTCGGCAGATGCGACACCTGGTAAAATAAAGGCACCCACCATGACGTGGACTATAAAATGCTCTGGGACTCTATTTCTCTTAAATATTTAGAAAAGTAATTCTAATTTTTATTGGAAATTTTAGTCTTTGTTCATATGTTTACCTATCAAAGATGCTGCCAATTTCTTCGCCCTTGAGCTATTTGCCTAACAAACTATCCCAGGCTTTTAACAATTTGGACTCATTGTTTTATCACCCCCATACTTTGAAATCTATATATGGCCTTGTTACCAAGCATCAAAATTTCTGATTAGAAGATCCCAATTCCACAACAGCATCCAAGTGCAAAGACATCAAGGGTAAATACCCTTGTGCCAAAAATATATGCTCTGCAGTTACTTGGAAAATATGCACTTGTTTTGACCAACAGACATCTTCATGTGATTCAGTCATGTGAATGAAACACTTGCCTATTAATCAGTGCTCACATCATTTACATTAAAGCCTTCCCCATGCCTACAGTATTGTTGAATAACTTATTGAAACATTTAGATTAAAAAAGGTAAGTTTCCATCAAAGCCAATAAATTCTTCATTCTACAGTATCCAAGATATAGTGAATGCTTAAACTATTGATATCACTGCTACACCTTTCATTCTGAATAAATCAGCTCTAACATTAGTGAAATATGGGCTTCATTGAAGAAATGTATCTTAGTTATATTATAAATATTAAGAAAAAACTGCCAAACACAATATAAGCACAGAGATATTCAAGGGCAAAAAATGGGATGCCACTGTGTTTGCCTGAGGTTGCTTTTCTGAAATAAACTTCCAGCCCTGAATGATCCATCTAGATACTTGTTTTAAATAATGTTTTTGAAAAAAAAATGAATTCACAGTCACTTAATCAGGACAAGCTCATGTGAACATTTCCCGAAAACATCCAAATACTGAAAAGACAGGTTATTTTACACACTTGGTTGTCCCATTAAATTTTACTTTACATGACCCCACAATGAAACAGCCTTGGAAAGTGATAACACAAGAGAAACTCCACACTCCAAAGCAAGGTTTGCACTTTATTTTAATGTACACTTTGAGGCTTTACCTCACAAGATTTGCTAAGTGGTAATGTTCCTTTCTACAACACTGTAGGACATGATTTTAAATCATCTCTAATGCTGATTAAATCAGATTGGAGCTCATAATCCCTGATGAGAGAAACAGTTTCACCTGTTAGACCACTGAAATTCCATGTTGAATGATTTTTGAGAAAACTCTTTCCATTAATGTCGGAAAGAGGTTTCATGTAAGCCACGGCATATTCAGGGAGTCAGTATACACTAACCAACCAGAACAGTGTTAGCAATAACCTGCTGAACATCATGCTCATACATTCTAATTTAAACTCCTTTTGTTTGTGTAATCAGGGGCTCACTGTATTGGGGTCAATAAAACCCTCAGTACTCAGCATGCTTATCAGAAATGATCCTGGGGAGGGCGCCAACATTTTACTTAAGCACTGAAGCTAAACATTTTACAGAGAATTTCTAAAAACTGAATTCTTCACATCTGTTTTTGTGTGTGAATTCCCTTCCTTCATTCTTCCTTCCTTCTTTTTAATGATTCCTTCATTTCTCCTCCATTTCCTTTTCCTCTTTTCTTTCCTTCCCTTCCCTCCCCTCCCCTCACTTCCCTCTTCCCTTTCCTTTCAATCTTTGCCCATTGTCATTTATCACAAAGTTCTGGGGAGAGATGAGGGTGACCTGGACTGGGAGAATGGCATTAGATAAAAAGATGTAGTCAATTTTCCATCCTACGGCAGCAATGGTGTGCCATGTAAACTGTACAAGGGATTGTGTACTCCTCATGGTCAAGTCCACCCAACAGCTTATTGCTGCACTCAGAATATTATCACAACCCCTTATCCTGGTTACAAAGCAATGCCCTACATGAGTAAGGGCAATCCCTGCCTCTCTACCCTCACCATACATTTCTTGCCCTATTATTTTTCCTATGGTGCAGCTACTCTTATCATTTTTACTGATCTTCAAACATTTCTGCCTCAGAGCCACATGAAATCTGCTCTCTGTCTGCAATGTTTTTATTTCAGATATTTTTACAACTCTTGCTTTTATCATTTATACCTTAGCTTAAATGCCAAGCTTCCCCATAGATACCCAGACCCTCTCTCTTTAGGACTCCAGATCTAGGTTGAGCATCTTTTATTCAACAATCTGAAATCGGAAATGCTCTAAAAGCTAAAACTTTTTGTGGAAAATTCTTCATCTGATCCCACATGACAGGGTATGGTCAAAACACACTAAAAATGTTGTATAAAGTTACCTTCGGGCAATGTGTATAAGATATAATATACATATGGTGAATTTTCTGATTAGACTTGGGTTCCAACCCCAAGATAGCTTGCTACACGTATGCAAATATTGCAAAATCTGAAAAAAAAACCAAACCCCTAAATCCTGAACACTTCTGGTCTCAAATATTTTAGATAAGGAATACTCAATCTGTAGCTTGTTTCATAGAATCAGCCTATTTTACTTCTCAGAATGATGTATTACTTTCTAATAAATTCCTTGCTTATTCCCTTGCTGTTTCTTCACGTCCTTATAAGTGTCACAAATGTCTGTCTGAAGCACTACACAGAAGCCTGTGTAGTGAAGGGACAGGACTGTGGCGTGCCCCCAGGACTGAGAACAGTGTGGATGGAAGAGTTGCAGCAGGCTGCAGACCCAGCATCCTTTGTGCACAGCATGAGGTCCCAAGTCAAGGAGGTGAGCAACAGTCTTGTCAGTGAAGCTTTCTTCCAGGGCAGCTCTCTTTCTTTTATTTTCTGCCAAGAAAACATGCCTCATTGTTTTTGTTTTGTTTTGTTTTGTTTCTACTTTGCCCAAAGGTATTGAAACAACTGGCCACATTCCTATTTGGCACTCAACAAAATCTACTCAATCCATGAATCAGTTTGAGTCCTATCTCAGCCACTTACAAACTATGTGATTTTGAACAGGTCATTTCTGTTTCTCTTTCTTAGTATTCTTATCTAACAGGGCTGAAATTCTGATTGGATGTCATGGCACTGTAGGAAATAGCATGCCTATGTATGATATGAAGATTGGATATAATAGTGATATGTATATTTTATTGATGCATGCCAAGTAAAAGAACTGATAGAACCTCAGTACAATCTATTAAAGAACAACTGCACTGTGAGTCATTTTCATGAAAAACAAATGGACCAGTCAACTCACACATGTTGCATAGCATCTTCAAACAATACCAGGTGCATGGCAGCATTGAGGTCATTGTAGTTATCAAGTGACTCGGTAAGAATCATCTTCAGCGCTTCCCAATCCTTCACTGGCATGTAACATGGCTCCTCCCCACCTTTAGCAAAGTGGCAGTAAACAAGGGGTTGCTGAAGCAACTCAAGGTGACTGTTGAGACCCTGTGGAGGTGGAAGAGAAACTGGTGTGTCACCGTTTAGAAAGATTCATCTTGAAAGAGGCAGAATGTCTGTTATGGCTTATATCTAGATGTTCTCCCAAAGCCTCATGTGCTCATAGGTGGGACTTTTGGGAGTGGCTGAATCATGGATGTGTGGATATGAGTTAAGGGTGTGTGCTAACTAAATTAGTCCACTGATTGGTTTAGCATAGTTCTGGATGTGGATAATGGGAAAGCCCACCCTACATGTGGGTGGCATCAACCAACAGGTTTGCAACCTGAATGGAATAAAAGGGAAAAGGAGGCTTGCTGCTGGCTGCCTTCTGCTGGCTGACTTCTGCCTACTCTGCCATGGACTGTTTCTCCTCTGTGATGCCCCTCTACCCTATGTTGGAACCAGCTCCCTATGGACTGAAACCTCTGTAAAGTGTGAGCTAAAATAAACTTTACCTCCTTTAACTTATGGGTGTGGGGTATTTTGTATCAGCAATGAGAAAGTAACTAAGACAATGTCTATCAAGGGAAAAGCCTGAAAATCATCTGTGAGCAGGTGGGCAAATATTCCTACGTCCAGACCCCATACACTCTGCAACCCAGATGCTGCAGGGAGCTTAGCCCCCTACAATTCACTTGCATCCTTTTCTAACTCTGGCCCCAAGACTAACTGGTGGAAGAGCAAGTAGTGACCTCTGACAGTTACATACTTACTTCAAAATATTTATAAGCAGTTTCCAGTATTTTTTTCTGAAACAAGCCACAATCTTTCGTGTCTATCAGTTTGTCTCCATAAACACGAGAGGATTCATGAAGCCACAGGTGTATTAAATCATTTGGGTCTTTTAAACACTCAGGAGAAGCAAACAAAATTCCCTATTAAGCAAAAGTGGGAAACATACTTTTAACTCAGAAGATTAGGACATTCCAAATAAGCAGCTCTTTAACATTTAACTGTGTGCTGAATTTAGCAATTTAAAAGCAATATAAAAAAGAGTGCATGTATGTGCAAAACTATTTACCTTTTGATAAGCAACATTCAAAAATGTATGATTATACTCACTCATTTTTGGGAACGCAACTAGGATTGTCTTTCAGGAGTCAGTTCAAGAACTAAATACCACTGAGCCCTTGCAGCTCTTACATCTTCCAATGGATTAAGCTCACAAAACCAAAGGACAAACAACTAACATGAAAGTCACAGAATACAATGTTTTTAAAACTTTAAAACCCTGATATCAGTCACATTAACCCATTCATTTAACAAATGAAAAACATAAGATCAAATATAAATGTTCAAACCCACACTTTGTGGGTAGATGTGGAACTACCACCAAAACACTTGAATTCCCATGCCTGCTCCACAATCCCTCTCAGTATCTTGGGTTCACACAGACCCACTGCTTATGGACAGTTAGCTTGCTGTGCTCTCATGGAACACAAGGAGCTGCAAAGGCTAAGACATGATTTGGAGATGGTAGGTGCAGCCGACAGGATGGGAAGAGGGAGCAGGCAGAAGCACATCCCATTTCATGCACAGCCTCTCTTCCCTTTTCTTTTAAGATTAAAATTCTAGTTTTAAACAACACCCTATTGAGCACAGTCTTTCTGCACATGAAAGATATGGCCCATGTGATTAATAAGCTATGGTCTGATGCTGTGCTATGCTTTGGTGGCGGTTATGGAGTGGAAGAGTTGTAAGAATCCAAGGACTTCCTATGCCACTTCCTCATTTGCCTCACAGAAAAACCTAAAGCCATAAATAACTCTCTAATGACCTTTATTGAACAGGGAAGACCACATTAGTTGGGTCTGTTTTAATCCCCAACTTTCAATTCCCTCTTTGGAACTGTCTATAAATTCCAGATGTAAGCACTATCCTTTTACCAAGTACTACAGTTTGGAGCCCAAATGTTCTCCAAAAATCCATGAGATAGAGCCTTGGTGCCCAACGCAGTGGTGTGGGGAGTTGTTAGACCTGTAAGAGGAGGGGCCCAGTGGTAAGCCTTTAAGTCAATCCCTGAAAAGGACAGTAGGACCCCGGGGTCTTCCCTCTCTTTCACTTCCCAGTCATGAGGTAAGTAATTTTACTCCTACGTGCTCCTGCTTTGACATGCTGCCAAGCAAGGGGGCCAAGTGAAACGTATAAAACTGTGAGCCAAAAGAAACCTTTTTTCTCTACAAACTGTTTATCTCAGGCATTTACTATAGTAACAGGAAGCTCACACATTGGGTAAGCAAGGTAGTTTTTTTGAGGGAAAATATGATTTTCAGCACATGCTTTTGGTTTTTTCAGTACATGTATGCAGTACATAATGTTCACTTTCCTTGTGTGGGTTGGTACATGTCTATAACACATCTTAATTCCTTTTTTAACCTCTTTCCCTCCCTCCCCTTTGGCCCCCCTTCACTGTATCTCTCTCTCTCTTTTTTTTTTGGTGCTGGAGATTGAACTCAAGACCTTGCACTTGGGACTTTGTGCTTGTGAGGCAGGTGGCAGAACCACTGAGCTAAATCCCCAGCCCTTCCCTGTATCTCTTGATCCCTTCCCATTTCAGAATGACCTGTCTCCCTACTTCCTATTATCTATCTTTTATTTTGCTCTTTACTTTTACTCTGGGTTTCTTATACAAGAGAATCCATGTGATACTTAAGCTTGTATGTCATATTTATTTCATTTAACATTACAGTATCAAGATAGATCCATTTCCCTAATGACTCGTTTATCTTTTTTGTGGCACAGTAGTACTCCAATGTATGTGAATACATTTTCTTTATCAATACATCTGTTGATGGACACACAGGCTGCTTCTAAGATTTAGCTATTATGAATTGTGCTACTATAAACACAAGCATACATGTATCACTGTAATATGATGTTTTTAATGTTTTCAGGATGATAGCAAGCAGGGGAAGAGCTTGATCAAATGGAACTCAGAGTCTTAGTTTTTTGAGGAATCTCAATTTTCAACATCAACACAAGATGATTCAGCAATTTAAGAAATAATACTTTTCCCCTTAAATGTTTGAAAATCATATATAAATGGTTACTGCAAAAACATGACCAATTATTCTTATTTGGCACTTTGAAAAAAAAAGGACTCTCAATCTAAGGAGTTCAATCTAAGGAGTTAGCAATCTTTGTTTCTGTTGCTAAATCACTCTGCCATCATCTGAGTATCTCCCCAAATTCATGTATTGAAATTGAATTGCCAGTATTAAGTTGTGAGGCCTTCAGGAGATAGTTAAATTGTAAAGTGACCTCACATAAGAGGTTGACCCTTTTGACCTTCCATCCCTTCTGTCGTGGGCTGACACAAGGTTCAAGGCACCATCATGGAATCACAGACCAGCCTCTCACCAAACATCAAACCTGCTGGTGCCTGGACTGGCCTTGAAATTTTCAGCTTCAAAAATTTGTGAGAAATAAATTTTATAGCTTATGAATTACCTAGTCCCAGGTATTCTGGTACAGTGGCACACAGAGTCTAAGACACTAGCTAACCCAAGAGGCACAACTGTTCTGACAAAAAGTGAATGATAAACCCATTGTATTTACTTCAAAGAGCTGTTTATGGGTATAAAATGAAAGCGCACATACAGATTTACAAAGCATGGTTTCAAACTCAAGTTCTATAGATCAATGCCATTATTATGGCTATAATTACTTCTCTATGCAAGAAGCATAACATAGAGCAGTCAAGTACCTGAAAGATGTTTGATAAGTCTCTCAGATTAAAAATATAGTGGAATTTGACAGCTGTGGGTAAAAAGGTCCGTGTCATCATGTGATGGACTGCTATTGTTGCCTGGATCAAAGAGGGGCCGCTTCTGAGAACTGACGGACTAAAGGCTTGGTGCTGGAAATGGAAGTTAAAGATCTGGCCATAGATGGTGTTCAGTGCATCCAAAGATGGAAAGTTGAATGCAAACACTGTGAAATGTCTCTGAAAAGAAAAACAAAAATTAGTATAAAATAAGGGCTTTAATCAAACCAGAAAATTACAAACAAGGGTCCAAGTTTTCATTTCTCCTATGACTAGGTCCATTTCCATGAAACTTCTTAATGCCTGCTTTTCTGACATTGGGCTTTGCTAGGTGACCTGCTTGAGCTCACAGAATGAGATGAAAGTGACAGTAGCCAGAAGATGCTAGCACATTTTCACCTGTTCACTTAAGCCTCTGACTTTCCATGACCTTGAAATCCTGCTAAGGATGAGAGGCACAAACAGCAGGGCCACATTGTTTCAGCTGCTCCATCGAAAACCATGTCAGATTAACTGACACAGACAACCCCCAGGAATTCTCAAGGGAGCCCCGCCAAGACCAGCACAGCACCCAGTTCACCCCCAGCAAACTCAAAATAAGCCAGGAGCAACCACGGTGTGCTCCTGTTGCATGTATGTTGGTGATGGCTATTGTCATGTTAAGAGGCTTATCTGCACACACAACACCCTACACACAAATGTTTATAGAGGCTGTATGCATAACTACCCAAACTTGAAAGCAATCAAACTGTGCTTCAATAGGTGAGTAAATAAACTATGTACATTCATGCAATGAATATTATTCAGATGTGTGTCCTATTTATTTCACTTAAGAGTATTGCCTCAATGTGCATCCATTTAGCTATAAATGTCTCTAATTTCTTGTTTTTTATGGCTGAGTAGTACTCCATTTTATAAAAAAACACATTTTCTTTATCCAGTCTCCACTTGATGGGCATTTGGGCTGTTTCCAAGTTTTAGCTATTACAAACTGTGCTGCTATGAACATGGGTGCACATATATCACTGTGGGATGATACTTTTAATTCTTTGGGAAAGATACCCAGCAGGGGAATAGCAGGGTCAAATGGGACTTCCAGTCCTAGTTCTTGGAGGTATCGCCATACTGATTTCCACAGTGGTTGCATCAGTCTACACTCCAACAAGCAGTGGAGCAGTGTTCCTCTTTCCCCACAATCCCGCCAGCATTTGTTATTGGTTGATTTCATGATAGCAGCCATTCTTTCTGGGGTAAGGTGGAATCTCAGTGCTGTTTTCATTTGCATCTCTCGAATGACCAGTGATGTTGAACATTTTTTCATATGTTTATTTGCCATTTCTACTTCTTTGTCGTTCATTTCAGATGCCCAGCTTTGGATTGGGTCTTTAAATTTAGGAGGTCTGATTTTTTCAAAGTTCTTTATAGATTCGAGATAGTAGACCTTTGTCTGAGAGACGGCTGGTGAAAATTTTTTCCCACACTGTGGGTTGTCTCTTCACACTGCTGGTGATTTCTCTTGCTGTGCAGAAGCTTTTTAATAAGAAGAGATCCCACTTGTTGATTGTCTGTGCTAGTTTATAAGCAACTGAGGTTTTGTTCATAAAAACTTTTCCTACACCAATGTCTTCAAGAGTTCTACCTAACCTCTATTCCAGCCAGTTCAGTGTTTCTGTTTTAATATGCATATCTTTAATCCATTTTGATTTTAGTTTAGTGCATGGTGAGAGATATAGCTCTAGTTTTAGTCTTTGGCAAGTTGAAACCCAATTTACCAGCACCATTTATTAAAGAGGCTATCTTTGGCTATCACCCTCCAGTGAGGGTGTTTGGCTCCTTTGTTGAAGATGAGGTGGTTGAGTGTGTCTGGTGTTGTTTCTGCATCTTCTAATCTGTTCCAGTAGTCCTCAAGTCTGTTTCTTTGCCAGTACCATGCTGTTTTTATCACTGTAGCTTTGTAGTATAGTTTCAAGTTGGGGATTGTGATATCCCTGTCATGTCTCTGTTACCTAGAATTGCTTCTGCTATTCTGGGTCTCTTCTTGTTCCAAATGAATTTTTGGGTTGTTTTCTCTAGGTCCATGAAGTATGCTGCTGGGATTTCAATTGGAACTGCATTAAATCTATATAGCAGTTTTGGAAGTGTGGCCATTTTCACTATGTTGATCCTTCCTACCCAGGAGCAAAGGATGTTTTTCCATTTTGTGATAGTGTCTTCAATCTCTCTTTTCAGAGTGCTCTAGTTTTCAGAGAAGAGGTCTTTGATTTCTTTGGTTAGGTTGATTCCTAGGTATTTCAGTTTGTTGGATGCTATTGTGAAAGGAATTATTTGTCCTATTTCGGTCTCAGTGAGTCTGTTGTTCATGTGCCGAAAAGCTATTGAGTTTTGTGTTGACTTTGTATCCAGCTACTTTACTGAATTTGGTTATTAAGTGTAGAAGACTTTTGGTGGAGTTCTTGGGGTCTTCTATAAAGAGTATCATGTCATCTGCAAATAATGACAATTTGACTTCTTCATTTCCTATCTTTATTCCTTTTATTTCTTTCTCTTGTCTA